ACAGACGTCAGGCAGGGCGACAGACGTCAGGCAGGAAACCGCTGACGCTAGATAGTAGCAGCTCAGAAAATGCTCGATTGAATTTACGTGGCAACGTTGGAACCAGGATGAAGTTAAACGTTTCCCTAATACGTGAACAGGTTGCAGCTGAAAATAAAGCGAGACTGTATGAATGTCACCCAAGCACATGATCAAGGTGTAGAGTGCTGCTTCTGACTAAAACTTGAACCAAAGAATCAATTGCCAAGACTATATGTGCATACTGAATCACTTAGTTAAATATAGTCATTTATTAAGGTAAACTTAATGCTAAAGTTTGCGACCGGAACAGTGGCCGGTCGCACCAGAATCTACGAGATAAATGAGGTATTTTCAGGTGGCCGCCTGAAAACGGCTTTTCTTGTCATGAACGGTCACGTTCTACTAGACGTACTAGTATCGTTTTAGACAGCACCACTTCAGTCCCCTCCAGTCGGGCTTCCAAACAAATAGAGGAAGGCTGGCCTAGCCTTTTTCTTCCCACATCACAAATCATCGTCACCAGTTGGTCTTTCACCTATGGCAGTCACCTTCCTTGGGTGTTTTTCATTGTTTCTCTGAGCTCAAACACCTAAGACTAACTATTGCCTTTAATTCCATTCCAGCGGTTTGTTAACTCTTTCAAAATTTGCATTTGCTCTACAACAGAATAGTGCCCACCTCATTGTCATTGCGCGCATATTCGCACTCTGAAAACCCTCTCTTATGGACATCACTTCCGGTAATTGAAGAACCTATATTACATTCCTCACCTTAACACCTTACAGCTAATAATACTGGGCTGTCACATTTATTTGTTTATTCCCGTTTACCCTGTCATCTCACTAAACACTTCCTCAATCAATACGGCATACCGCATACGCAGACTTTGTCCCAAGAAATTCACACATCAAATCCGAAGCTTAGGCAGGCTCAAGGAAAATGATTGGAAGATTATTTGTATCCGTAATTCTTTTCCAGGTGTAACCGGAAAAACCGTCGCGTATTCGAAATAGTTCTGGGTAGTGTGCCGACTTGACGGTGACTTGCGTATTGGTTTTAACACAAGGGTTAAAGAGTCGCTCTTTGGTCCGGCTCCAAATTCCCTTGCGTTGGAGAGAGGAGGAATGAACACGAGGAACTTTTCGTAATATATTGGTGATCTTCGTGCGATACACAATTCCACTGTACATGGCACACAATTTATTAGGTCCAAAAGCTCCGGGAAGCAGGGTCTCAGCCTCAGGGATACAACGTCGAGGAATCCTAATTAACTACAGAGGACCACAAAAGCGGACAGTAAAGATACGGGTACGAGCCGCACCACAAAACTGACGACCTCGCAGGAACGGACAGCAAGGATACGGGTACGAGCCGCACCACAAAACTGACGACCTCACAGGAGTGGACAGCAAGGATACGGGTACGAGCCGCACCACAATGCCGACAACCAACGCAATGATAAGGGGTTGGAAATGCACTGCCAAGAACACAGGACCGGGGTGGCAGTTACGCCTAAAAACTCGACTATTGAAGGGTACGAGCCTCCAATAAGCCGCTGACAATTTACTCGAGCGCAGAGGTTATTAGCCTCTACGACACGAGGGTGCGAATGGAACGGCTGTTAACCGCCTAACGCAGCCAAAACCTGGAACTATCCATGAACTCCACCTACGCCGTTATTATTCCGTTAGAGGAACTCATTAAGACTTATGCCCAGAACTGCGGTGGAGTTTATTCCTGGAAGCCCAAATTTGGCTCTGCCTCTTTCGAGTCAAAACCATGTCACCCCAACCCAGTAACACTGAGCACATACAACTTCTCCGCGAGAGGTAACTCAGCCAAAATGAGCTTACCTCAACATCCCGTTTACAATGTACAAAATAGACCATAAACACTTTCTAAGTGCAAAAAATAGATAATATAATACAAAACAATAAAGTTATCATATTTTTAATCATTTGGCAAACTAATCACAGTTAAAAGTCGAATAATCTTAAACTAGTTCCAAAGTGACCAAACTCTCCATCGTTCATGACTATCTAGCGCGCACCGTTGCCAGGCCAGGAGCAGCTCAACCAATCACGTTGGAGCTACACATTCAGTCTCGTCCCAAGACACTAACAACTAAATCCTAAAAATATCACAGCTAGACGAGATTCCATATTACAGTCATGAAATAAATGTTACCAACAATTGACTAGTCACTAATCTAAGCACAAAATTAATAGAACGTACAGTTGAGCCGATACTTCCTAGAAACAAAAAATATATATACCAAGAAATAAGCATCCCGTCATACGTGCACTCATCAGAATACCTATCGTTCCAAATTTTGAACTCTCTTGTTGCACATGTGACTATTCCTTGCAAGCGTCTTGTAAAAAAATCTGTAATACCCACCTTGTATCAATGGGCCACTGCTAGCGTCTTGCAAAATAATATTGAGTTCACGTTTCATTGTCCGACAAGACGGATCGGACTCAACATTACACCGAGATGTTGTTGCAGCAATTACTCGAAGACGTGGTGATGTAACTGCTGGTGGTGCCAACAGGCAACAGCAACCCGTTGGTTGAAACAAAATTTAGCCTCTTAAAGATCAAAGCGACATGATGTCGCAGTCCAGTGAAGGTGATGACTTTATGTTGCTTTATCTGCTGCATATATTCACGATTCATTAATACGTCAATACAGTATACTAGTCAACTACACAATACTCAATTCATCAAATGTTGAGAGTTGAGGGCATGGACCGTGATGATGCAGGGCTGGAAAAGTCCCATTTCTGTCTGAAATATCACGGCTCTAATATCATATAATTTCAGTAGGTATGAAATCTCGCTGCTTGAATGTCATAAATTTTTGTTTGATTGAAAAATCGCGGTTTGCACTTCACAAACATATCAGTTATCACTTCATAAAATTTTCAACTTTTGCAATCCGCATTGCTTTACCGTTCCTGCCAAAATATCCTGCAGAAAAACATAAACATCGTAATATAAACAAATCAACTAAACGTTTTGTTGAAGATCACGCATAGTTGCGGTCATGTCAAAGCGGTCAGACTGCATTAACACGTGCTCAACTTACAGTAAAGACAAATTTTATTGTTGCCATATGACTGTTTTAGGGTAAAATTAGAGATTTTGGGAATTGGGTAACACGTGCATGGACTTTGTATATACATGTGCGCCTTGTAAATGGCTTTTCATGGTCGAGATATGGAATTCACGGCTCGGTGAAATGGAATCACAGCTCGAAGAAATAGAATCATGGCTGGCAAATCCACAAAACCACGGCTCAAAAAATTCAGTCGCGGCTTGCCAAGTAGATATATTCCATGCCTGTGATGATGGACGCATTATCATTATGCATAGTATTGATAGTGGCAAAGGAGAGGCCAGAGACGGAAAATTTTGGATCACAAATTACTATGAATATTCTTTCAGAGTTCAGACAAATCTGGTAGTCAGAAAATAGATAGGCCTAGAATAAATAGATAGAGGGGGGATTTGTCTGAACTCTGAAAGAATTTTCATAGTAATTTGTGATCCCAAATTTTACTGTTCAGTCTGTTGTATCCTATGAACTTATTTCCACCAAAATTTCAATATTTAATGCTTCTAACTTGAAAATGAATCTCTGTTGCATACTTCATACTTGCATTTAATTAAAACGTCATTAATAAGCAAAACCTACTTCCTGAACATGCCTTTATTGCCATATAATATAGTCTGCTGCCATCTGAAGAAAAGTTCCAGTCCCTGATAATATAAATCAACAAATTCTCTGGTCATCAATTGCACATGTATAAATGAGTAAATTCTGCCATCTAACACTAATTTATTACATATACACACATGAAAAAACATTTCTAGAGTATAAAATTGCATCACTTTAACAGAATTAATATTTTCTATTGACAATAAAATTGGCTAACCTGCTAAAAAGTTACCTCTGATTCATTTCTTGTAAATCTTTAATGCTGGTTTAGCAGCTTCCCTATGTCTGCTGAAGGCTGAAGCTACATTGTGTAAGATTAATGGCTTGAATTTTGCATTTTCATCCTCTATGAATCATTTCATTTCTGTACAGTACACCTCTAAGTCTAAGTCTATATGATAAAATTTTTATCTCAAGGAAATATTTTTAATGTTAGCATGCTGGTACAAAAGTCAAGTAAATATCATTATTTGTTATTAGGCCTAGTGCCTACTATGTACTGAGCTAGAAAATGTTGCATCAAAAAGTTTTATTAATGTAATTTTTTAAAAAAAATTTCTATTCATTATAACTAGGCCTATTAGGGCCTATTCATTATAACTTATTTACCATAAGTTATCAGATTTCAATATATAAATAATCAATATCCTAATTTTTAAATCCTTAGGAGTTTTATCATTGCATACCTACTTGATACATGTCCTTCTAAATATAATATTTATATGTATATTATAATATATTATTATTATCAGTAAACAGTAATGTTCTTATCCTTTGAACTTTACAGCAGAACCTCTTATTCAGAGAGTTCCTGAGAACTCTGGAGTTTGCTGTGAAAGCCATCCGGTGTGTGAGTGTCAGTCGTCTCAGGGGGACAGAAGCCACATGCAGTGCTGCCGGCGGTTGCCTTTCTTTGGTCTAGCCTTTTTCCTCATCTTCACAGCATTCAACACTTGTTCCCTCATTCTGGTGAGTTTACCTTACTATATTAGTTAATAGTGCCAGTAGATATTCATATATCTGAATTTCTTTTGTTTATTGTCAATTAGTTAATTTCTTTCTCTTTACTTTCTTGTTGTTTGTTATAGTTAAATATATGTTCTCATTCATGATTCATGAGAACATATTCCAATACCTACTTATTTTATTTTTTCTTTTATTTATCTGATCTGAAAATCTACGAGATAATTATTAAAAGTAATATATAACTATATTTTTCTTAAAATATTGTTATGTTAATGCTATTTTTTATTGTTACTTATGTGAAATATTCATCACCCATATTTCAAGTGCAATTGAGATAATAGAAGAATATGACCTCAACATGGCCATAGAGAAAGTGAGTGCATGCAGCTGGTCAGTTTGTGCCTGCATGGTGCTTGTGAGGGTAGGATCCTTGTGGTTATCATCCGACTTGGCCTATTGGCATGCACTATTTTTTATGAGAAAGATGAATATGTGTACACAGATCATAGATATTTTGAAAATTTATTATTATAGGGCAACAATTGCACAAATGACCCAGCACAAAATATTTCATTAAATAGGATGAAAATTATCGCATGTTAGATGAAACTGGAACTTTTGTCCTTATTGAGAGGGCCTTTTTTTATAACAGAGGGAATTATTGTTATAAGTTGATATGGGATAAGATTTTGATGTATTGATACAGTTTTAGTTCGGCTGTTATAAGGATTTGATGAAAATAAAATATACTGCTTAGGGACATAACCAATCATACTATGTATGGGGGTGTAGTGGTCATATACTTTCAGGGCTATAGGCTCTGCACATTATTTTCCCTAGGCCTATATAGGGGGAGTTATGACTGAATATTGTAGTGATGTAGAGGTGGTATGGTACAGCTAACTTACATTGTAAAGAATGTGCAACTGTTGGGTACAAGCAGCATGTACTACCATAGGGGGCTGTTGTTTTGGGGTTATAAGGTATAAACATTACATTCAACATGCAATGTAGAGGAACACGACCTTTTATTGTGGTGTAGAGGTTGTCTGACAGTGATCGTATGCTGTAATGTGTACCTATATGGGTGATATGGTACAGTTACTTTATGCTGTAGAGGTGTAGGGGTTTGCTGGTATCATCACCGTATACTATAATGGTGTAGGGGTTATCTGGTACAGTCACCGTACACTGTAATGGTGTAGGCCAGGGGTTATCTGGTTTAGTCACCGTACGCTGTAATGGTGTAATACGTGCCCTGATGTCATCCCGTTGCTCGATGAGCAACCGGGTGCCAGGGTTGACCGAGGGGGAGAAATCCTTCCGGAAACCAGCAGGGATATGCTGCCTGGCAGCAGTCGTCAAGATTTCCCTCAAGGTCGACTCACCGCCACACGAGGTGGGGGGAGGGACCATCTGAAGAGCCGTTTCGATGGCTGCCGTATAGGCGGGCCAGTCAGCTTTTTTGAAGTTGACGTATGAGCGGGCAGCCCGGGGGTCGGAGAGTCGACGGAGGAAGGGAGATGAATCAGGATGGGCAGGTGGTCCGAGTTAAGGGCGACTTGAGGAGTCCAGGAGGTGTCGAGTAGTAGATGATCGCTGATGATTGCGATGTCCGGAGAGGAGGGTGGGCCGTGGGAGGGGAGGCGGGTATGGGAATCCTCGTTGAGGAAGGCAAGGGAGGAACCGGCGACGAGGTCATCGACTACGGCTCCTCGCGCTGCGGCTCTCTGGTCATCCGTGTGGGAGAACCAGGAAGGATGATGGGCGTTAAAATCGCCAACTATCAGACAGTCGCCCGGTATGGAGACTATGTCTGAAAGTTCCGGGGAATATCCCGAGGGGCAGGAGGAGGCCGGTGGGATATTAACATTGATGATGCAGAAAGGGGAACCATTAAGAGGAGTGGAGATGGCTATGGCCTCCATGGTGGTGTCGCCGTGTAGGAGGGGAGATGTCTTGCCAGGTGTACGGGACATCGTGGCGAATCAGGATGAGGACGTCGTCGGCGTAGGATTGTGACGTCGTCTGCGTAGGAGGCAATGTGGATGTTTGGAGGTGATTCGGGTATGTCGTGCATGTATAGATTGAAGAGTGAGGGTGATAGGACGGAGCCCTGTGGGACTCCGTAGGGGATGAGTGATGTGTGATGACTTGCCTGAATAGTGTACGTATGCTTGTCTGCCTGATAGGTAATTGGCAAGCCAGCGTTTGTTGTTATTGTGTAGTGTGGTGTTGTAAATTTTGTTTGTGAGAGGGAGGCGAGGAATGGCATCAAAGGCTTTACTGATGTCTATTGTAAGTAGTAGTGTTCTGTGTGCGGGTTTGCGGGAGTTGATGCCATCGTTTATGCTTTGTGTGAGGTTTGTGAGTAGTGTTGTGGTCGAGTGATGAGCTCTGAATCCGTGTTGTGTTGGAGAAAGTGTAATGTGCGGAGTGGCTGTGTTCAGTATGAGGTGCTCTATGACTTTTGATGGTGTACAGAGGAGTGTGATTGGTCTGTATGAGGCGGCCTCAGTGGGTGGTTTGTTGGGTTTGAGAAGTGTGATTATTTTGCCAATTTTCCAGATGTATGGTATTTAAGAGTGTGAGTAGGAGAAGTTGGCAATGTTTGTAAGTGTCGTGATACCGTGTGGGCCAAGGTGTTTAAATAAAAACTTAATAGCAAAGAAAACTCCACAAAAATTCATAGTATCTTTAAAGAAAACGTTTCGGAGTCCAGCTCCATCGTCAGTTCGAAAATTCTAGGACACAGATAAATCAGTGATTAGTACAAGTCAAGAATACAACGAAAATCCTAAGCTGCAAAACCTACCTATTTACAATTTCAAGCGGGTAAGAGCTAAAAGCTAAATTCAAACTAGGCCTATGTTTAAAAATATACAATGAGTCTAAAATGCGCAAATCAGAAACACCGGAACTGGAAGCTAAAACTTTGAAGTCACTGTCAGAAACTGGAACATCGCACTGCTCGGCGTGAACCCGCACAGCCGAATGAGGTGGGCGCGACAGTAAGTTACCAGTTCTACAACTCCTGCCCCTATGTNGGACGTAGCGCGCCGGAGCCTTGCAGCGAATGTGATATCCGCCACCAAGCCGTCCGTATCTAGGCAGTGCGTCGAACCAGCCCTCGGTCGAACGCCCGCGGGTCGAACGCTCCAGCCGAGTGCTAACCCAACCTAACCTAACCTAACCTTACTCAGCCAGTCGCACGGCTCTTTCGACCGACGGCCTGGTGGTGCACGGCAGGTTTTATGCAAGGCCGGAGGAGGTCAAAGCCAAGTGGTCGCAGGCTGTTGCGCGCAAGTTCCAGTTCGAGCGGTGGCCAGGGTATAAAGTGATGCTTCGACGCAACGTTCAGTGGTGGACGGCCATTCGACTCTAGGCTATTCGACCTCGTGTCTGGGGGTGTAGAACTCAAAATATTCAAAGCAGAAGGATGTCAAGGATAGGTTACGGATAGCAGGTTCCATTCACGGCTGATTGGTGGATGTCCGGAGAGATCCAAGGCGTTCGATTCAGGGCTTATTGGTGTACAAAATTTGTGGTGCACGGCTGCGCTCCCGCGTTGACGGATGGGGCTGCCTATCTCAGGTGTGAAGTTAGGGTTGTGTTTTTTTCTGTTGCCCTTTGGTATGTGTTTCTTGTGAGCCTCTTGGATGATTTTGTTGAATTGGGCAACAGTGTGGTCAATGTTTGTGATTGGGAGGAGGTTCAGTTGTTCAAATTTTACTTCTGTCTCGTGTTTGAATTCCTCCCTGTGTGCGCGTTTGAAGTTGTGTGTTTTGCGTGATTGTGTGTTGTTCGTTTTGGATTGTGTTTTGATGATGATGGGTAGGTGGTCTGAACTTGTGTCTGTTACTGTGCTCCATGTAGTTGTGTTTGCTAGGTTTGGAGAGCAGAATGTTATGTCTGGGGAGGTGGCTTGTCTGTCTGCTTGGTATGGGATGTGAGTGTGTTGCTCTGTGTCATTGAGGATATAGAGTGTGTTAAGTTGTGTGGCTAAGTTTGTTCCTCTGTCATCTGCTTGTTGGTTGTTGTACCATCCTGGGTGCTTGGCATTGAAGTAATCGCCCAGGATAATATTGTTTTGTGTATCCATGACCTGTAGTGAGAATTGATAGTTAGCAGGTAATCCTGGAGAGTTGTGTGGGGGAATGTAGGTGTTTATGAGTGTGATGTTGGTGTTGTGGCCTGTCTGTGCCCTAAGTGATTGCAGTTCAAGGTGTTGGTCTGCGTTTATGTCTCTGTGTGTCTGTTGTGTGGTGTCGATGTATGAGACGCTCTCATGTATGCATGTGATGAGACCCCCGCCAGCTCCATGGACTCTGTCTTGTCGCATTGTGGAGTAGGACGGGATGTTGGGTGTTTTATGTCTGTGTTGTAATTTTGTTTCTTGTATTAGTGCAACGTGTATGTTGTGCTTGTGAATAAGGTGTTTGAGCTCTTGGTGTTGGGGCGGATGCCGTCTATGTTAAGTTGCAGAATATTGAGAGCCCTGATGTTTCTGGTGTTATTGTGTCGTGGACGGTGTTGCATGGGAGGAGGTGGTGGTGGTCGTGGTGGTGATAGTGGGAGTGGTGGTGGTGGCGGCTGTGGGGGCGGTGTGGGTTGCTGTGGAGGTGATGGGGGTGGTGGTGGTGTTGAGTGAGGGGACTGGAATAGGGGATGTGCTCGTGGTGTATGGGTTTGTGATGAGGTAGTTTTTATGGTGTCGTTTGTGGGTAGGCAAGTGGTGCATTTAAAGTTGTTTGTGTAGTGGGTAAGTGAAGGGAGTGTAGTGCGCCGGAGGTGGACCCACTCGCCGCCGGAGTTGCAACGAACGGAGCCAACACTGCGTGTGATGCCTCTAGTGCAGGTGGGGCAGATGTAAATGGGTCCAGGATTGGACTCGATGTCCCCGGCGAGTAAGTGTAAGAGGGACTCAATGGCCGGGACATAGAATCCAGTCACCGTACGCTGTAATAGTGTAGGGGTTATCTGGTACAGTCACCGTATGCTTTAATGGTGTATATGAGTTATCTGGTACAGTCACCGCATGCTGTAGTGGTGTATACGAGTTATCTGGTACAGTCACCATATGCTGTGATGTTGTAATGGTTTGCTGGTACAGTCACCGTACGCTGTTATGGTGTAGGCTGTAGGGGTTATCTGGTACAGTCACCGTATGCTGTAGTGGTGTGGGAGTTATCTGGTACAGTTACCTTATGCTGTAATGGTGTTGGGGTTATCTGGTACAGTCACCGTAAATGCTGTAGTGATGTAGGGGTTATCTGGTACAGTCATCGTATGCTGTAGTGGTGTAGGGGTTATCTGGTAGTCACCGTACGCTGTAATGGTGTAAGGATTGCTGGTACAGTCACCGTATGCTGTAGTGGTGTAGGGGTTTGCTGGTACAGTCACCATTTATTCACCGTTGAGGTTGTACAGTACAACATTGGTATTCACGAGCGAGTGCCACACCGAGCGAGATAGGCTATCGGCTCCAAATGTCGTCGCAAGCGAACCTCTCCCATGAACGGGGACATGGGTTACTTAGAATTTCCGTGGCCTATCCTTCTTTGTTTGGTGTAGGGCGTTAGTGGGCATAGCAGCCGTCGGCCGGACGAAGGCTTCATAACGTGGGAAGTGTGGGGCTTCATCGGTGTGAAAAGCCATTAATATTTAATCTATGAGTGGTGTTATGGTAGTCGTTATCCGCACCATTATATGGGGCAATAAATATCTATTAAACATCAGGAAAACGTCTACCGAATCTTGCAATCGTAATTTAGTACCTATACAACTAAGTATTTAACATAGTACAGTAATGTAGTAACATTTCCTTCCCTGCTATAATACTATGACCACTATATACGGTATACTATAACTATGTACAATATATAATATTTATAGCAATGCCCTCATGTCTCTGCTCTGTTCATTTATATATGCTTTTATATTTTTTATATGAAATTTTTCTTATTGAGCCTATTTTGATTCTTACTTCTTTCTTTTCGATGGCCTCTAATATCCACACGTCCCAGGCTATGCATCTGGTATTTTTAAAGCCTTTTGGCTTCGACTCTTTTTAAAACAGATTGAATTTTTATCAGCAAGAACCGCAACAATCTAAGTTATTACCGCGTGCAAGTAAATTTATCATCTATGGAAATTAACAGTGAATATCCGTGCTGCGTGCGACGGATGCGCAGGCAGCAAGCACGCGGGGGTATCTCCACTGTACGCCAGTTACCGTTAATGTAAACCGTGTGCGTGAGAATGCGTATCAGGTTCCCATTGTTAACCTATCATGAGGCGTTAACCATCGCTGTTGTCCACGCTGATAAGTTCGCCCGTCGGTCCAGGGTGCTTGATAGATGTGATAGTGCCTTGCTGTGTGGTGAGCTCGGTGATGCGTGGTGCACCGTCGGTCCAGGGTGCTTGATAGATGTGATAGTGCCTTGCTGTGTGGTGAGCTCGGTGATGCGTGGTGCACGACCGCACAGAGTTCGCTGAACTTTTCACTCTCATGCTCTTCAGCCAAGTTCATTCCCGTTAAAAATGATAGAAAATCAATCACTTAAAACCGGCCATAGAAAGCCACTCTTAAACCGCTGAAAGCCACTCTTGAACCAGGACTGTTGACATTAAAGGCGCTACACGCATCTTCGAATGGAATTAGCGTGTGTAAATTAAACGTTCAAAGTTTCACAAATTGTTTCGCAAATAGAGTTTTGCTGTAGAGTTACTCCTCCTGGTTCAGGACATGTATGAACAAATTCCCACTGCATGGCGGCACAAAGATAAGATATTTTATGTGTCACTTGTATTTTCCGTCATAAATTCATGCCTGGCTTTCGTTCCACGATGAAGGGCGGTTAATGTATAGTGAAAAGTTGGCCGTCGCTGTAATGGGCCTCTCACTTGTGATTTTTTAAAATTCTCGTTTTTACACTGCAAATTTTCGATGTTTTTATGATATTGTACCGTATTTTAAAAATAAATCAAAAGATTATTTATATTATTTATATTGCACTATGAAAATTTGTGTCATTTTATAATTGTGTTCAAGTGGGAATCATGTCGCGTCAGAATTTTTGTCAGAAAAGCTCCTCTTGTATAATCTCGTCCGCTCAGATCGTAGGTAATTTACACTCAGCCTGATATCCTGGCTTCCTGTGCACTGAGAAATGATCGTGTGCAGTTTCATTTGATGTTTGAACCTTTGGCGCTATACATTAGATCTTTGACTCCGCGCAGTCTTCGGTCCTGAAATAACAATTGCTGTGAACTGATATATATACAGCATAAGAGTTAGTTATTGATCCTTATCAGTTTTAGAATTATTGTTTTAGGACTTTTAGAAAGTCAAGACCTGAGCAGATATACGAGTTAGCTGAAAGCGAAAGTTCTAACGATCTTGAGCGGCCACGTAAAATTATATATTCGTTTTAAGAACACTCTTGAATATCGATCGGTAACATGGTGATTTCTGTGAGATGGGTTGTATCCTCAATATATATCTGCTAACCTCACCAATCATAGCGATTGTGTTGCTTTCACACTCTGCAGATGATGCAAATAAGAGTGAATTAACTCTGCAGTCTATGCTTGTACACTTGAGATAAATGGAAGGAATTTTGAGGTAGTAAAGTACCCAGGACCGCAGCAATGGCGTTGGAGCGACGCACGCTGGGGGTGGTGGTGCTCGGCTTCGCCTTCATGCTGATCTTCACGTCCTTCCAGACGCAGGGAAACATGCAGGTCCTACAGCTGCCCTTTGTTGCCATTTCTCCCTGGTCATTGCTTCATTCATCTAGTTCTAGGGTGTTTGGCCATTGTCAGTGTGGTGTGTTGTTTCCAGGCCTCACTGGTCATTGTTTCTGTCCTCCAGGGTGTTTGGCCATTGCCAGTGTGACGTGTACTTTTTTGCTAATTAGTATGCACATTGACGTGCATTTCATGAGTTTAATTGTCACCGATGTTATTATCATTGACGCAATGCGACATCTTCCTAGCATTAATGACTCCAGTCATCGACAGAGCTCCACTTATGCTTCGTCTTTTTCGTAGAAATACTAATTTTTCTGGCTGCTTACCATTATTTCACTGGCAAACTGGCGAGAATTCGAGTAGTGTAGTACTTCTTTTTTTTTGTGTGGGACTCTTGCCATAGCCTATGTATCAAGCCTAAAAATTGGCACCCAAAGTGACTCCAACTTGGAGGCACTTCGATGTCGATTGCTGGCACTCTATGACAACTGCTGGCACTGGATGTCAACTGCTGGCACTGGATGTCAACTGCTGGCACGCGATGTCAACTGCTGGCACTGGATGTCAACTGCTGGCACTGGATGTCAACTGCTGGCACTGGGTGTCAACTACTGGCACTGGATGTCAACTGCTGGCACTGGATGTCAACTGCTGGCACTGGATGTCAACTGCTGGCACTGGATGTCCACTACTGGCACTTGATGTCAACTGCTGGCACTTGATGTCAACTACTGGCACTCGATATCAACTGCTGGCACTTGATGTCAACTGTTGGCACTGGATGTCAACTGCTGGCACTTGATGTCAACTGCTGGCACTGGTTGTCAACTGCTGGCACTTGATGTCAACTGCTGGCACTCGATGTCAACTGCTGGCACTCGATGTCAACTGCTGGCACGTCACAACTACCGACCGTTTCAGCAAGTGGTGATCGACAGCATCCAGAAGGAAGACCCGAGCTTCGCAGGCTCAGGCTACGTGTCCCTGGCCGTGGTGTATGCCGTGTTCGCCACCACCAACTGGGTCGCTCCATCTTGCCTCACCATCCTGGGACCTAAGCTTACCATGGTGGCTGGAGCACTAACTTACACGTGTGTACTTAGCCTATACGAGTTTACTCTCCGTATGTGTTTGTATGAGTGCTGTAGGTGCGTGCTTAGTGCTTACACTCTAGATTTTCCAAACATCTTTTCTCATTTGCGTTATAGAGCATCACATTCTGTAGGTTACGAAATATTCATACCCTTTAAAAAACTTAGGTGTTCTTCTGCGTTTCCAAACAGGATACGCATAACTGGTCACGAATCATGTTCTCCGTAGCCAGGATATGTTCTCTCACTGACCTGCCGTGGGGCGAGTGTGGCTTTCAGACGCGTCTTGCTTTAACAAGCTTCGTTGTGAATGAAACTCTGGCTCCTGTAATTCACTAGCTGTCAGATAAATGATGTACTAGGTCAGATGTATGCTGCTTCAAGGCCTGAGAACTCCGACCTCAGATTTGATTGCAATAAAACGTAATGCCGGGAGAATGGGGGAACACAAAGAATGATCCAAAATAATGACATAATTATTTTTAAAATATAAAAAGAAACTGAATTTCCTAAACTCTCAAATGGCTTTATGAGTTAGTTATACCTGACCATAATGAGTGAGGTCAGGACACAACTTCTAAACGGCCATACTTGATTATATACAGCTCAAGTGGGATGTGATAAGTGATAACCTTCATGCAGCCTCGGGCACATTGATAAAGGAACAAATTGAGCACCAGCGAATAAGACCTGTAGATTAATTTCTCGACTGTTAGCCCCGATTAAAAAGAACTTATTTCTGCGACTGTCCAACTAAACTCTGAACGCCTCCTGTCCCGTCAAATAATTCACGCCAGCCTCCAGTAGTTATACTACCGACCACCTGGCAACCAAAAGCACCGCTGCCACGTCTGTCCAGTCTACTCACTTCAGGAGCTTATACACGAGGCAACTAGTTGCGTCGAAATTGGTTGAGTCAACTAGATGACTCAACTAATATTTGTGATGGTCAACGTATTCAGTGGCGACTAGCTGTTGCATTGCACGCAAAGCAGCTCGAGTTGTTTCAAGCCAGTCAAGTCACTCAAGTGTGCCCAGTAGCGGCTGGGCCTTCGTACTGTGCACAACTGCGTCGCTTTCTCTCTTACTTGTCTCTTAGCCGCTGCAGTACGTACAACAGTGGAGCTTCGCTGGCCTCCACCAAGCACACACCTTACTCGACAACTCCCAACGTCGCACTGGCGCTGGCGGACTGTACCGAAAACTCTCTCCTCGTGTATAGGCTCTCAGCCGGCAAAACTGTAGTCGACTCAACTAATCGACGCGACTAGTCGCCCCGGGCATAAGCACCTTTAGGCTCTCATACTTCCATGCCTTCTCCTGCTGTGCACTTCTTGCTCTGCCACGGTCTATAAGAATGTGCTTAAAATAAGAGCAGATACGTGCTACATCAGTACAGCGCGTAGTGCGAATAATGTATAGTTGAATTTTGTTGTATATGTCCACGCAGGCCGTTTTAAGGATAATTGTTATCTATTTTAGAACAGTTGCTTCTATGATAATTAAATTATTGAATCAAGTTTAAATTACAAGTTTGATCGGAAGTAACAGAAACTTGAAGAATAAATCAATACTCAAATGATTTAAGAATCATTTATGACGTAAATGTATTAGCATGTTATTCTGATAATAGCGACTATTCAACATTGTAACCATATGAGTATAAGTGTAATATTTTTTCGCCGTTTTGCAGTTTGTTCATCGCGTCATTCCTATGGCCGCACACGTGGCTGCTATACCTGGTGTCGGTGGTCGTGGGTCTCGGAGCTGCTCTCATCTGGACCGGCCAGGGCAACTACCTCACCCTCATGTCCGACGACGCCACCATAACAAGGAACTCTGGCATCTTCTGGGCCATGATGCAGTGCAGGCGAGTGATGGGTTGCAGATGGTCATCACAGATGTTCTTGACTGCGAGAGGTACAAGATGACTTGTAAACAATCTACAATTGGGCCCCTTGTGAACAATATGCAGTTCAACGGCACCAAGTTCGGAGGAATGAGATACAGAGACCGCTCAGAGATCGGGATGCCACATCGCATCCCCTTGGCATCAGATGGCACAGAAATTGAAGAGAAGCAACTATTTCGAGATTCGGAGTGTAGATGAGTACTGAAACCACGTTTGATGCCCACAGCGAGGAAATAGTCACCCAAAGCAGGCAACGGATGGGATGGATCAGGCAACCATTTTGAACGAGAGAAGTAGCACCAATGATTACACTCTTCAGAGCCCTCGTGCTCCCCAATCTTGAGTACTGCTGCCAACTTTGGGCGCCACTCAAGGCAGATGCGGTGCGGAAACTGGAGGCAGTGCAGCGGACCTTCACGTACAGGATCAGCGGCATGAGAAAGCTGAACCTGAACTACTGGGAAAGGCTCCCAACTTGACAGTGAGACATCCAAATTAGTGGCCTATTATAATGATAGGAGTGGTAGACTGAGCAGGATTTTCCCATTTAATAACCGAGTCACGGCCAGAGTACAGATTCTTCGGAAGGGATCTCTGTCCTTGGCAGGACCGAGGCTCTTTAATGACTTGCCAAAAGCGCTGAGAGGAGAAGAATTCACCCTAGCAACATTCGAGAGACGACTAGACAATTGGTTGAGAGAGATCATGGATTGTCCAGTAATGGGAAACTACCCTCAGCAAGTGACAAGCAACAGCATCTTGCATCTGCGACTGTGCTGCAGTGCAGGCGAGTGATGTGTTGCAGTGCAGGCGAGTGATGTGCTGCAGTGCAGGCGAGTGATGTGCTGCAGTGCAGGCGAGTGATGTGCTGCAGTGCAGGCGAGTCCTGCCGCAGTTCCCCAGATGTTCAATGTTGCACTTCGGTAACAAATTATTAGCGCCAGCGTTACTTACGACTGCATGTCCATCTACAGTCGCGTGGATGCCGCAGCAGTGCGACGGCAGTGCCGGGATGGCAGTCCAAAAGGCTGATTTTTTACACTCCCCTAGAAATTGGCATTATGCCTGGACGTTCCATGTCCGGACTTCGCTCTGATCATCTTTATCGCGTTTCTATTTTAATGGCCATAACTTGGGTAACCTGTCATCTTGAGCATAATCAAGTTAATCAATGACATCAAGATCGTGTATAATCTTTTATCATATAAGACCGTTGACTATTTGGCAGCTCTTAATTTATTTCGTGAATTAGATTTTACATCTCATTTCTCGCATGTAAAATTACATATGCCCTATGACGCCATTGTTTACGTGACTAGTACTGCTATCAATAAATAGTTGGATTTATTCCGACAACAATAATGACACGAAAAGGTAATTTCCTTGAATGTTAGGAAAATATCAGGGTATTTAGGTGAACTCGTTGCTGCGTTTACCAAACGACCGAAGTTCTCTTGACCAGCTTCTAGACAGCGAGTTACGCCTCTAGTTTTTTCACTTTGATTATTTCACCCGCGAACGACATGCGCCAGTCCAGACCGCGCGCATTCAGGCTCCTCAGCATTCGTATACTTTCTACTACAAGTCTACAATTGATGATTCTTCTCAATAATCAAAAGACCGAGTTTTAAGAAATTAAATCTTTCTCAACTGTTTGCTAGAAAAATAGCATAGTGATATTTTATTGATTCCAATTTTTAATAAATGAAAGAATAAACAAATAAGTATATGCTCCAATGAGTAAGCATTGAGAGGTTTGATCAATAGTGAAGCGGCATTCCTGTCACTATCTAAAACAGACCACCAAATTCGCATAAATTGCAGCGCCATATCTATAGCAACTTCCCAGAAGAAAAAAATCTTGAGTTTCTTCCAGAAGTCTTTGCGCGACTTCAGGCTGACAAAGCCGCAGTGGAGACTGCGGCGTTCAAAACCTTATTAATTGCAGTAAAAAAATATTACCCGGTAATTTTTTAATTTCGGTTTTCAATCACAAAAAAATTTTAAATCATAATAACATGAGTATCTAAATTTTAAAACTACTAGCTCGTTTAATATTTCTCGAAATATGCTTCCACAACTTATCGAGAAGCCGGCACTGGCACTAGTCGTACTGACCGATATGTCGCAAGATGTAAGTTCATGATGCTAGTCACGCGCTGGCCACGTTCGTGCAAACCTTGTTTACTGTTGCTCATATTATGACTCGCTTAATATCTTTATACTGAGGTTATTGTGAGCCCCAATGTAATTTTCAGGATTTCTTTACGATTACAGCAATATTCTTTTTTGTGATCAAAGTTAACTTCATTCGAATAAAAAAATTCTTTGTTGGTAATTCCTGGTTACGTCGAAGCGACGAAGTTGTAATCATGAGGCTCATTTGCAGTGGCTTTAGCCGCGTGCCGCATGCTGGCTTGCTCGTAGCCCCTAGTGCCACTAGCATTCATGTGTACCAATGGTATGACACTGGCGAGTGCCGTTTGCCAGCAAGACCTGGAGTGCCTACAGCTTGGCTGTGAAATATTGATTGCCGAGCTGCATATGGTAAGCGCACGACGACAGTCAGCAGCAGGGTTGGCAATGATTAAATCAAACTGATTAAATCACTTGATTTTTTTTTTTTTAAATTCAAGATTTTTTCATTTGTTTAATTTATTTGATTTTTTATATATTTAAATATATTGAGTGGCAGTCTTCAATTTATTTTGAGGTACGGTATTTTTATTCATGGTTTAGTGTAAATGTACTATGAAAAATTTGAATATACACCTGTTGCCTTTAGTCTTAGTGGGTATTACGTTCCAATGAATTGTATGTTTTTGGTACAGAGGCATCTAGTGTTGCAATTCATTGGACATATAACATAGCTAGCAGCGTAGCTAATTCCTATAAGGCTATAAGTGGTCTTCAACTAAGTATTTGACTATTTGTTATATATTAATCACATTATACAATTTACATGTGTTAGCTATCTTATATAAGAAGAGTTGGTTGAGATTGTATTGACCTTTACGCATTTAGAAAGATTTTACACTCTAATATGAGTATTGCTATTAAAATATTTAATTTCAATCTTTAAATACGTGAATTTATAACTAGAAACGAAACAATTACAATTATAAAACTATATATAAAAGAATTGAATGCAGTGAACGTAAATAAAATGTTTGAATTGTGCATATCTTTATTTCAAACAGTGTTAGCTTTTCTCACAACATTAGATTCGTTTCAAGTCGTTTGTGGTTTGTTTGGTTGTTGTTCAGTTTATGTTTAGTATTGGTTAATTGGTCTGAATCAAATGGGAACAGTGCAGTCAGTCACTCATTCACTACTAGGTGTGTTTTGAGGGCAGAGTCTGGTAGATTTATAGGACATAAAACCAGTAGATGTATTGATAGTGCTGTGCACTGTGCTATTATTGCTATTAAAGTCACGTAACTTAGAGTCACGTAACCTATCTGTTACGTGACTCTTCAATGTTTAGAAAAACTGAAGTATTCCTGAAGTATTGTTGTATATTGAAGCCAGTCAAATGGTCAATATTTAGCTTGTTACCTTGCTCCATACAAACTTTACACAGCTAATGAATAGACTTGTCAATAATTGTTTACCCAAAAGTCCCAAAGTGGTAAACACCACCTCGGTCATTCTTGAAGGCAATAACTGCCCTTTTTAGCCATCCATATACTTTCATTGTTAGCAGGCTAATTGCAAGATAAAAAATAACATTAAAAAAAGACAAAAAAGCTGAAAAAATAAAAAAAAAAATAAAAAAATCGTTGATTTTTGATTTTTTGTTTAAATAAAAAAAATCACCAACCCTGCTCAGCAAATGATAAAGCGCGATGACGGCAATAAACGGTGGGGTTCCAATCACTGCTGCAGTGCTTGCGTGGGGGCTGGCACCCGACCACATTTAATTATTGTTTCGATCTGGACACCGTCTCAGGGTTTCAACGCCAGGGGTAACAAGTGTTATACTATAAAGAAAATGTTTATATTAACTAGGGCGGTCAGATGAGACTGGTCGGTTTATGACAACAAAATAAAGGTTCTAGTATCTATTTTCTTAGCTCACGTGACCTACCTGAATATGGTGGCCATGGGACGAACTGAGAGACCAGCGCATGTGATGAGTTGTCAGGAGCACGTGGCGATGGTGAAATACAAGTGGCGTGGTGAGATGAACGATCCCAGTTAAAATTGTGAGACGGTACCGGCACCGGGCTTGGCCGAGCCTGTCGCGCTTTAGCCAGACGAAACAGTGAAATAGTTGAAAACAGATGTTGTACTTTCAAGTACGACCTGTCCGACGACGTGTACTCCAGTACTATGTGTCCTCCAGCCTGGGAATAAGTACCTTTTTGGATGCAGCGCTCAACAAAACGCTGTTGTGGTTAACTGTATTTTTCAATTCCGCTCTTGCAGGAGCATCACACACTACTGCTTTTATGGTAACAGTCACTTTCTGGTTAGTGCCCCGAAGACCTTTTTCAAGTAATATCAATTCATCTACACATTTTTGCAAAAATACATAAACTGGTAGCATTTTATTTGACGTATTTTCTGATGAATAAGTGCCTATTTCAGAAATTTTCCTCTGCATTTCCCCCCCGTGCCATCTCGCCTTTGTCGTGGGGGGGGNTAGCTGTAATGTTGACCGCCTCGTAGAGTACCTGAGAGCAATAAACATTTTCGACTGTATATGATCTGGTCAACGCTGAATACATGTGATGCAATCTGTTCTTAACCCATAATGCCCAACGTGGCATTCGGCGCGAGAAAGCTTAGCAGCTGAAGCGCTAGTAATCATAGGGTCACTAAACTAACTAACTTCCTCTGCATTTATTCAAACTTGATCAATATATGATATGCGTGAAATCTATGCGAATCTCTGAACAGCGGAATGTCATGTACATTGATTAGTGCATGGAGAAAAGTAATAAACCTATAATTCTCATTCTGTAAATCTTTTACTATACACTGTTTCCAGTTTTTAAGGTGAACATACCTACCATACATCATACATGGTGCATGTCTTCTATCTGGAATTCCTTTTCATATCTTCCAAGAAGAGTTTGAGCTGTCAGTGGCACCCATGGAAAATATTTATTAAACGACTTCAACAAACGAGCAACTGATGCACCAGATGCTGTATTTTCGACCTATATGTATTCAACTAAGGCCTGTTCAATTTTATCATCAGCTGTAAAATTTTCATCATTCACTGCCTCTTGAAAGCTGCAGTCAGTTTCAGAAGCGCTACTGTGAGTAATGTCTCTCGATTCACCATCACTTGATGATTGACTTCGGCTTGTGCTACTGTTGCGGTTATCTTTTGACGTACCTGACGCACTCGCTGTACTCCTACCATAACTTTGGGTGTCAACATCGGGATTTTCTAGTTGCTGAGCAGTACAATCAATTCGGTCAGGGTAAGCCTTCCTTCGGCGCCGTTTTTTTTTTTTGGTAGAATATGATATGCTTTTGTTACACTTCTTTTTTTTCATCGGACAGATTAAAAGAGAAGTTTTCGTGTACTAGAGATCACACGCTGCAGCCACGCCAACTAGACGCCGTTGAGTCTCCCGCGCCATCCAAAGCAACTTTGCAATGACGGGGAATATTGACTCTCTTAAAATGACCAATAAAATCAATTTAAAATTATTCTTGAGAGTTAGAACCTCACCAAATATTTAGCAAAATGATTCGTCGCCTTATTTTCACGTTTTATAAACTATCTTTTCCTCTCAATGAAAAATTTGTTTACGACCACTGTAACCGTTTCAATTTTTAAGGTAAATTAGGTTCTTTTTACCCTAATTCGTTTACACTCCTTCCTCAAGATCATGGCATGGATTGTTATTTTTAGCAATTTGAAATATGTGGAGAATTGTAAAATTACATGTAAGTTAAGTAAAAATAACTGCAGCAGTTTTTGTACACTCCTTAATCAGGATAATTGTATAAATGATCGAAGTAAATAAAATGATACGACGCGTTTTACTTCGTTTCACAATTAAATTGGAATTATTGAGGACCTCAAAATACCTATGCAATAATATTCAGAAGTCATTCGAGTTTTTTTTCAATTGTTAAGCGTTATAATGGTTTTCATTGCCTTGCATGAAGATGGATTTGTGGCACATCCATAAAAATAGTTAACGGGGACCAGGGTTTAATTACATGTGCTTCGTCATCTTCATGACGAAGCACTGTGCCACACGTACGCGTTCTTTTCTGTACAGTGTACATAACCTGCCAGCATAAGACAGCAATGAAAGTCACTCCCACCCCCAACCTAAGTATCCCTCAATTTAACCCCGTGTAAAGTCCTGCTCGATTGCTACCTAGAAACGGACATGGACGGAAGCCGTTGCCTATATATATAACGCTTTAAAATTACGGCCAATATGCAGCTGCTTCCTATCCAGATTTTTATCAAGGGACAGTTTCCGAAGATTCCTGCTGCTATGATGCTGCTAAATTGGTCTCCGTCTGTGGGCGGCGCAGAATGCGTTTCCGAAATTTACCTGGGTTGCCTGCCACAAATTTCAACTAGGGGGCCTGGTGAGATGCCTGAGGCGTGATGACATTCACGCGGCGTGGTCAGAACCACGTAGATTTGCAAGAGGCACCTGGAGTTGCACGTTGTTTTGATGATGTTATTGCAGAGTCACGTGAGTTCCAATGAACGTTACAAAGGCACGTGGAATTGCACGTTGAGTTATGATGAACGTTACAGGGGCACGTGGAGTTGCACGTTGTTGTGATGATGTTTTAGGGGCACGTCAAGTTGCACGTTAAGTTCTAACGAATATTACAGAGGCATGTGGAGTTGCACGTTGAGTTATGATGAGCGTTACAGGGGCACGTGGAGTTACACGTTGTAGTGATGAACGTTGTTACAGGGGCACGTGGAGTTGCACGTTGTTGTGATGAACGTTACAGGGGCGCGTGAAGTTTCACGTTGAGTTGTGATGACGTTCATACAGGGGCAGCAATGTGTTCTTGGTACGTGCTGACGTGATGTTGCTGCAAAGCAGCAATGTAAATTTTGAATACACGATTCAATTTGGTAAGTAAGCAGTTATCACCTGAGCTTAAGGCAAGGTGAAATTGACTGACACAGAACCTTGCACTGTCTCCAGATTCATCTATTACGGCTACACTACACTGAACACAATTGAAAGCAAGGGTCGCCTTCCGAAGACCACTACTGCCCTGGATGTAATGGACCATCATGATTCCTGCCTTCCGGAACGTAGCCTTCAACACTTCAAGCCGTCCGTAACTAGGCCTTCAAGCCGTCCGTAACTAGGAACCAGCCCTCGGTCGAACGGCCACTTGTCGAAGGACGATAAATTTTGGAACAGATCTATGCTATCTGAAACCTAACCTCAGATGCGGTGAACGTAAAATTACGTAATTTATCGATGCCTGGAAGTCATATTCGATCCGCGGCCTGGTGGTGCACGGCAGGTGGTGGTCAAGGCCGGAAGAGGACAAAGCCGAGTGGTTCACGGCTGATTGGTGGATGTCCGGAGAAATCCAAGGCGTTCGATTCAGGGCTTATTGGTGCACAAAATTGGTGGTGCACCGCTGCGCTCCCTGAAAGCAAGAGCTATCCCAAAGGCACTGTTTCTATTTTCTAAGTTAGCGAGCTCACCAAGTTGTTACCGGAGTAGCGGCTGTTACGAGAGTGGGCAGAAGCTAGCTGTGAGAGACCTAACGGAAGTAAATGTTGCCTGCCAACGGAAGGGAATTCTTTCTAAACTATTTTCATAAATATAAAATTAGTTCTGTAGCGAGATCCGCTACACATGGGTGTTCAGTGCTGCAGTGCCCGCCTTGTAGATGGCTGAAAAATTCTGCAATATTCACTATCTAAATTATTTTCCAGCGCAAGTGAACTCACTGCGCATTCTATATAAGTTGTGTGGTGGATTCTTCTTGTGTGGTTTGGAGGAACAATTTTACCCATGAAGTGAATTTGACGCACAACTTCAGCACCATCATTGGTAAGCGCTATCACATCGATGGAATCAGTAATCGACTGCAGTACGTATTTGTGGCTGACTTCTCTAGTAAAATTTCGAAAAGGCATTGATATTTGAATGCCTCACAGTTGTGTACTTACCCCATGTATGAGAATTTACCAAACCTTCTATTTTTGTGCGTACCCCAACAAAAAATGTATCATGCTGCATGGTGTTCTAAACAAAGCTGTGTCACGCAGCATAGTGTTCTTACCGGAACTGTGTCACGCAGCATGGTGTTCTAACCAAAGCTGTCACGCAGCATGGTGTTCTTACCGGAACTGTGTCACGCAGCATGGTGTTCTAACCAAAGCTGTCACGCAGCATGGTGTTCTTACCGGAACTGTGTCACGCAGCATGGTGTTCGGCAACATCTTCGTGTTCGTGAAGTTCCGAGGCCAGGAAGTTATAAGTGCAGACACCCGCTTCGTGGTCTTCATTTCCCTGACGGCCGTGTCTGTGGCAGGGACGCTCGTGCTGCTCCTCCTGCCCAAGCCGGGATCACAATCAGGCAGATCTGATGCCGCAAGCTCCCCTACTAAAGAGCTTATGAAAAGCTTTAAGCTTTTTGTTACCAAAGACATGCTTCTATTGTCCGTCACGTTCTTCTACACGGGTTTGTTCTATATTCTATTATAAGCGCCAATCACTTTTTGATTCTGACATGCAATATCTCAAGATATATGTAGCGTACCAGCCCTGTGTAAGATTGATAATGAATATTAATGTTCTACTAATATTATAAACTATCATATGCAAATACAACATTTAGAGTGTCAAATACAACATACAGCATTGCATAAACAACATTTTAGATACTAATAGTAATGATACTGTGCAGGCCTGGAGCTGAGTTTCTACAGCGGGGTGTACAGCGCTTGCCTGAGTTTCACGCAGCGTTTCCCTGACCCCAAGATGTTGGTCGGACTCTCCGGCATCTCAATTGGAGTTGGAGAGATCCTTGGTATGAGCTTATTTATTGACGCTTCCGGTCCATTAAAACTGTCTTCCTGCCTTCATTATTCCCAGACATGATTTGCTTGTTTTTCTTTCCGTTTCTAATTTGTAACTGGCTGATTTTAACCAATTAGATGTGGGACCGATAGCTTCCACTTCCAATTGTGGCACTTGTAGACACTTCCCCAGAGCATTGATTGTACCCACCCCATAACGGCAGACTGCCAAGACTTCATTAAAAAATAAAATCATCATCTTGAAAATTTTAACTGTTGTTTGTGCCACAAAAAGCCTGATTCTCTACGATCCACTTCATTTCCTCAGCTGGCGCTACATTTGGGATCTTCGGTAGCAAGACAATCAAGTTCGGGCGGGACCCAATTGTGTTGCTGGGTTTCCTGATACACATGGTCTGCTTCTACCTCATCTTCCTGAACCTCCCCAAGGACTCCCCCCTCTGCGACACTTATGGACCTTCCAAATTTTCAGGCGGCCAGCCCATGTGAGGCAACTTGCAAGACTAATTATGACGCACTTTAACTTCTCAGTTGATTCATGAAAAATTTTCACCAGTATTTGGCTGTATATTAACGTATTAGAGTTAATTTCAATTGACCTCTACGTTGCTTGTGGCAGAGTTTGGATTGCGCTGCTATGCAGCTTCTTGCTGGGTTTCGGCGACGCATGTTTCAACACTCAGGTCTACTCGCTGCTGGGCTCCGTGTACTCTGACAACTCAGGCCCTGCCTTTGCCGTATTCCAGTTCGTGCAGAGCTTCAGTGCAGCCTGCTGTTTCTTCTATTCCACATACATCAGCCTACACTGGCATCTCGGTAGGTACTAAATAAGTTGTAACATTGTAGTAATAATGGATACGTAGTTAATAAAGCATCGTATGTTTGTTACGATTACGCCGACCTTCTACGTATGACTGTGCGTAGAGGGTCGGATTCAATTACTTGACGTACACGTTTGATGCTTGCATGAGTCTTCACTGTTGATCAACCCATGATCTCATAGAACTAATTCGGTCAAGCTATTCATTCACTTCATTATCGTGTCAAACTTAGGAGCACGACCAAGACGTTAGAAGTTTAAATGGTTCCGTAAACGTCCGTGTTTAAAAACTGAACAGCCCCTTTCAATGAATGTGTTGTACACGGGGCGCATGCCGTAGGCCAGCTTTGCCAAACTTCACACTTAGTTCATATTCTTCTCCATAGCTAAGAACGCTAGAGTGCATAATGGCCTATGAAGTCGAGTGCCCAAAGCCATAGCGCCGGATGCCCACAGCCACAAAATAAGCTTGCCAAAGGTAAACATTGCCATACTGCATCTGGCCAAACCTCCTCTGGCCTAACCTATACGAGCTGCAACCTTTCTTCAAGCAAAACAAACCCGAGCGGACCTATTCTAACCTCAGTGGCTGCAAGAAGTTAGAAAGGCGGTCCAAGCGTGCTGGTAAAGCCAGTCATTGGCTGCAAGAAGTTTGTGAGCCGGGACAGCGTGAATAGGTTAGGCCAGTAGAGGTTAGGCCGGAGTAGGTGCAGCCGGATGGGGAACTGCCTGCTATGAGCAAGCATGCTTAAGCATTGGCTGAAGACCTGCGGCGCTATTATCTTTCGGCAGTGTGTCGCTTGTCTGGATTACGGAGGTCAAGCGTAGTCTGCCGCTTCTAGTTCTGAGGCTGAGTAAAGTTAATGCATGGTGAAGCTAGGCGTTGGCTCCAGGGCTTATTTAAGAGTAAAATTTGTGGCCTACGGCTGCGCCCTTGTACACGAATGCACAATGCGGTATCGACCAAGTCTCCACTGCTACTGAAATGGCGCTTCTCGATTAGTAGTAGATATCCTCGTTACCCCAAATATTATCTTCGTCTATCGTGGCTTGCCGTTCAAATTATCAATACTTACCTGTCGGACTCTGTGTTTACTTGACTTTATTCCTCTTTATATGAGTAGTTTTATAACTAATCACTACGCTCCTGTTAAACATGTGTAAAAGGGCTTTACAATAGTCAGAAGGCCTCTTATGAGATGGCAAGGCGGGTGGTGATCAAATGAGAATAATTGCCGCACTAATATGTTAGTTTTTGTTTGTTAAATGTTTCTCACTTCGTAGGCATTCTGGTGGTGTTCTGCGTGGTGGGCACCCTGACCTTCTGCGTCGTGGAGTGGAACGCCTACCGCAAAGCTGTCGTCAAATCCGCAGCTCCTGAGGGCTATGACAACGAAGGGGAGGTCGACCAGAGGCCGTCGTGATAATAATGTCATCCTATTTTACACTTGTCATCTTATTACCATGTTAGTGTTGTTCACTACGACTTGAGTGGTGACGACGTGTTTTTTCATTGTTAACCCACAAAACATGCTTAATCGGCAGAGGAGCTGCGGTGGTGCAGTGGTGAGAGACTCTGTCTCTCGCACTCAGCTCCCGGGTTCGAGTCCCACTGAGGACAAGTTCTTCCGGAAAGCTCAGCTCATGGTCAACTCAGCCATTCATCCAACTCTGGTTAATAAATGAGTACCTGGCTTGTCCAGGGTGTTGTGTAATGCAAAAATGGTTCTGGCGGGTCAGCGAGCCAGTGATGGTCGTGGAACTGCCAGTGACATTAGTGCCCGGATAAAACTGACCTATCACCCCCCTCCTTAGCCTAGTTGCCACTACCAGGATGGGTAATTACACACACACAAACAGCGGAATGTTCGAAGAACTCAAGCTGTGAACGGATAAAGATAAAAAGAACACTAATTGTCCTACATACTCATATCATATATCTATCATAAGTTTTATATACTCTTGTATAATGTATGTCTGGTTTGCACTAAAGTTTTAGCGCCATCAGCAACAGAAGCAACGATGTCCACTTCCTAATGTAAGGGCGTTGCTCATTTGCTTAGTCTCGTATTGGCGAGGTAACGTCATTCATATCATCATTGTTACATTTATTGTCGTTACTTTCCACGCCGCCACTTTATTACTACTTTCCCGCGCACCAGTTATTAAAGCTATAAATCTGTGTGGAGCGCGCAGGCATGAATTTGTGCCGTTGGTACATAAGCTATGGAAGTCACGAATTGCAAGAATTTTCTGAGATATCAGGAAGCAAAAATATGCCAAAGCAAATAAATTTGATATGAGAAAAAAATCCCTACAGTCCTTGGAATGTGAACACAAATGTGGATCGCCCTGAACGTGTAGACATGGCCGTTACTGTCCAAGACTGGCAACTCTTCACTGTTCAATTTACTCCGCAACAATACAAGTGAACAGTTCTAGATCCTTTGCAGCTCTGTCACTCTGTCGCATTTTGTCACTCGCCAGCTCAAAGTTTACTATGTATTTTATTCGAAACACAGTAGACTTTGTCTTCATATTATTTTGTCCTTCAGCTGGGCCCAGTGGTGAGAATAATAATTTTGTAGGATAATAAATGCACACTAGAACGGATCAAAACTACGGAGCAAATTCGAGAACAATGATTTTTTGGTGAGATTAAATCACTTCAGGTTTTATTTTTTACGAAGTTTACGCTTGTCTTTGGCAGGTCGTGGGTTATTTTAATCCTATTTGGCTATTTATTTTGTGTAACATTCATTATTTGGTGTATACATTTAATTGATCTGCTTATTGTTACCTAAATTGTTGAAACTTTAATTACATTTTATCTTGTATTAGCGCATGTTATTCAGATGAAATGAATAATAACTTGACATTGTATATCATTCGTCTGTGTAGGTATTCCTAACTCTTGGTTATAATTATTGATTAGATTTGTGAGTTTTTAAAAGTCGTCATCAGGGCCAAGTTCGTTATAAGTTTCGGTACAAATTTTTTTTATGATGTCAAATTAATTTTACTACAATTTTGAATAAAAATTTCATTTCACTTTCCATTATAGTGCGTATAGAATGTTGTGATGGAGGATCCTTAAGTTATTATTCGGTATTAAAAATAATAATTAAATACCGTAATAGTCCGTTCGCGTGAATTGCATGCGAATTCTATACGTTCTTGCTAGTAAAATATTTTACATGGCGGCTACTTTGCAACCAATATTTAATTCACTGCATCTGACGGCTGATACAGCTGCAAGTGAGATGAAGTCGTGATGTAGACAGACAGGATATGGGAAGGTGAAAAGGATTATAAACAGTTTTTGTGGGGTTCCATGTAGTGGGATGTAAAACTGCAATCTTTTTAGGGGCCCTGTTTAAGGGGACTCCTTGGAAGAGTAAACCTTGGCCGATTGGCCCAAACCGAGTATTGAGACTGTCGAGGATGCGGATGTAGGCATCGTTGCATGGTCGTGGCAACCGGCATTTACTCTTAGAAAATTGTTTGTAATGTGACTTAGTGAACTTGTTTCTAACGAACGTTTTATTGATAGAATCATCCAGTGGCCAGTAGCTCAAAGTAACTTGTCCGATGCAGTATTACGACTTAGCGTATGTGACCTGTATTTTATAAGAATTTTGGTGTTAAGTTCTCGCATGATAACATGAATACCGTTAGTCACTATTTTTATGTGTAAATTTCACCTGATTCATCTGTGATATGAGCAGGGTCGTGCATACACACACACACACGCGCGCGAATCAGGGTCTCAACGGCGAGGATTTTGTAGTAATGTAGTTGTCTCAGACTCGGTTAGCCGGAGCCCTGTGATCGGTAGTCGCACTGCGCACACAGATTGCGTTCAAGTCACATTTGTTCCTAGAGCAATACGACGGTCGACGAACATGAACGTATCTCCTGTACGGTAGCTGCTGTTCGATCGTGTGTCTAACGCAATTTCCAGGCTTCGAACTTCGCACGGACTTCACTTTTCCGATAGCGCTGCGGAATTGAATTTGAATTTTATTTTGTTCATCCTGCGGAATTGGTGCCAATTTATAGAAGCCTAAGCCATCTGCGAAATTGATTAACAGAGGGTCGAATCCCTCTGATGTCGCGTTTTTTCCACTTGGGATTATTTGCTGGGACGTTTCAAGTATTATCTACCGTTAGATGAATTTTTGTCTCGTCATAATGCCCAGTCTGAAAACTATGTGCCGCATCATTGAATCCAGTTAAAATCTCCCAAATGATCTTTGAAATATTGGCAATATTCTTAGCAGTTTTTGCACCATTTATGACGTGTTGTTTTTCTGAAACTGATTTTCCAGCGTACTGCACAATCAGCGTGATTGCGCAAATGAATCTAATTGCGTAGGAATTTTAAATTATTTGCTTTTGTAAATTCCCTTTGTGTAACTTAGCCAGGCAGTTTGTACTGTATAACCCTGACCGTAAAGTTTCCTTGATAAAATATTACTTCATGTTGTGGCATTCTCCTAGGTAGTTCTAAGACTAATTTTGCCTAGGTAGAAATCTGAATGATTTCTTCGAGTGCCTTATATTGCTCAGTCTTTCCCGACTGATGTTCAGAGGAATTATATAACCATAAATACTAATATAAGTTCTGCCTTCTGATGCAACTCTGTTTTGCAGAGAACGTCATGTGACTCAAAATGGACTCAATATAAGAAGTAGAATCACAAGTTCAACTTTTATTGACCTATCTGCGAGTGTCTGAGAAAGACGCTCGCAGGACATTGCGTTTACATAGGGTAAACGCTGCATATTCCGACACATTAAGGACGTAGCAAAAAATGAATATCTATAAAAAATCATCGTATGCGCAACTCTAGTTCTGTTTGCTTTACGTCACTCTCAAAACACCGCACTACGCGCCAGCAACAATGAAACGTCACAAACTGTTGCCATATTTATTTAAAAGCCTTTAGAATGCAAACCTACCAAATCCATATATTACGACGCTGTGTGTGACTAAATTCGGCATTTTGTGAGACTAATTCCGGCCGCGCTTCGAACTCTATTAATTCGTAATTCCGACCCTCTTGTGTTCGAATTCCGATCGCTGTGTGAGCTGTATTGGAATACGACACAGCTTGGAATTAGAACACTATTGAATATTGAACACTACTTAATTAGGCTTTTAATTAAGAGCTATTAGGCTTTTAATTAAGAAAATTTTAATTTTTTCACACAGCTCGGAACGAGCTGTGTGTGTCTTATTCCAAGCTGTGTCGGAATTAGTTTTTATGTGTCTAAAACCGTCTCATAACTTAATTATCTATTAATTTATTTACCACTTGAAATCAGCAAATACAAGTATACTCAAAGGATTCCCAATATATTCACAGACTTATTTAAAAGTCTCAAACCGTAATATTCTTTCTACACAAACATTTTATCACTATTTGATAGAGCAAGGTCAACTATCAACTTTGACATGTTTTTCGATGTTCTTACTGGGTGACTTGCACTGGCTCTTTGGATCTCAACATTTTCCCGCCAGATGGCCCAAACCTAGTGTTTTGGCAATGAATAGTATGACGTCACTATTTCAACCATCAATGAATGCGTGGAACTAAGACAGAGCTTAATATAAAGGAAAAAAGTTGAGAAGTGTCGGAATTACTCACGATGTCGGAATATACCGCGTTTTAACTAGGTATCTATTCTTCATTGATCGCTATAGTAAGTATCTCTGAGTCATTCTTCTATCCTTAGTATTTGTTTGGGACATAACAGTCCCAACTCCCAGGCCACGATGGATCGCCGCCTCAGAAAAACAACACGTCATAAATGGTGCAAAAACTGCTAAGAATATTGCCACACAGTGGTAGTGGTAGTTATATTAGTAATTTAACCAACAGGTCAGTAAATCTTCCGTAGATTGAATCAAGATTTGACCTTCTGTTGTTGCACTTCGGTGGAGGGGCAGCCTGTCTGTCCCATGGCAGTAAACCTTCTGGGGGTTCACGATAAACATCCCTCTACCAACCACAACACTTTGCAGTCCACTCAGCTTTCAAAATGCTTGCCTGGTACTGGAGTGACATTTAATAGGCCACGACTAACAATGCATGTTTTCACTATAATCAATAATATGTAAATATTGGAAAGCTGGTTGTAAATGAATGTCATGCGTTACGATGATTCCGCAAAGATAATCAAAATTACGTTTCAAAATATGAAGAGAATGAATGCATGAACAATACAATTTATTAGGAAAGCGTCATTTGCTACTAGTTGAACTATTATTTTATTGAAAATAATTGAATATAGCATGTTATAAATTCCATTCGTACCTGACGCTATGCTATCAATGGAGCGTTCATGTTGATATGCAAATTTTCATTCTCTGGTAAAACAAAATGTCTAGCAAAGGAAAAGGGTAAAAAATCAAAGTTGAAAATCCATCACTTTAGGTCACTCGAACATCTTATTCCCCAGAAATGTTAATCCGGGGTCGCCTGCCGAAGACCACCACTGTCCTGGATGTAATGGACCATCATGATTGCTGCCTTCCGGAACGTAGCCTTCAACACTTCAAGAAAACCATATCTAG